GTGTGTGTGTGTGTGTGTAGGCCGTCTTATCTTTGACAACCTGAAGAAGTCTATTGCCTACACACTTACCAAGAACATCCCTGAGCTGACACCATATCTGATCTACATCACCGTCAGTGTGCCTCTTCCTCTGGGCTGCATCACGATCCTCTTCATTGAACTGGCCACTGATATCGTGAGTAATTACCTCATTAGTACCAGTTCAGCAAGAAAGCAAATGACTAATTTATGGTCATTACACTGCCTATTTATTCTCATCACAGATGATGATTGTGTCTTACACACTGCATTTTACTGAGACACATTCACTTTCATTTTGAATCACCACACACCAGCCTTAGTGGTGATTTGATGACAGTAATAGTAAATTAGCATTATCATTATCATTATCTTCCTCACTTCTGTATCTGCTGTACAGTGATTTGTTGTGATCTGTTCCTGTCTCTCCTGCAGTTCCCCTCTGTCTCTCTGGCTTATGAGAAAGCAGAGAGTGACATCATGCACCTGAAGCCCAGGAACCCTCGCCGTGATCGTCTGGTAAATGAAGCCCTGGCTGTGTACTCATACTTCCAGATAGGTGAGACAAAACATGTACAAATATGTTTAACCTCAGCTACACTGAACTGAATATTTACTTCACACTGACACAAGCTGGCTGAATGAATCCCCAGTGCTAGTAATACATGCATAGCCCTCCTACAGACTTTGCTATACACGTCTCTTCCATTGTTGCACCCAATAAAGCAGATAATACCTCTAACAGAGTGCGTCCCTCTAGAGGAGGCTGAGCCACTGCCCCATATGCTCACTGAATGGTGTCACACTGCCAGTGAACTAGATCTATAGTCTTAAAATAGTATTTTCATTTCTTCTTTCTCTGTTTTAGGAGCCATCCAGTCCTTTGCAGGTTTTACAGATTATTTCACAGCCATGGCCCAGGAGGGCTGGTTTCCACTCTTGTGTGTCGGCCTGCGTTCTCAGTGGGAGGATGTTCACCTTCAAGACTTACAGGACAGCTATGGACAAGAATGGGTTAATATAGACTTGAGATCCTACCTTTGGGAACTTTTCAAACTGTGGACACAAAGATGTCTCATTTTTGTCTCCTGGGTGAAGGGAATATTTGTTTTTGTTTTTACCAGCATGGAAACCAAATAACTCCTCCCTTGTCCTCTCCTCTGCTTACAGACCTTCAGTCAGAGGTTGTACCAGGAGTATACGTGCTACACTGTATTTTTCGTCAGTATTGAGATCTGTCAGATCTCAGATGTGCTTATCAGGAAAACTCGACGTCTCTCTGTGTTCCAGCAAGGCTTCTTCAGGTCAGTAAAGTGCAATCGGAGGCATTCAGTCTTTTCATGTTTTTGTCAGTCCATTTCACATGGACACAATTAAACCTGAACTTATGTGCCCCTGACATGTAACAAGTGTTTGTTTGTGTGCAGGAACCGTGTCCTGGTTTCTGCCATAGTCTTCCAGCTCTGCCTGGGTAATCTGCTTTGTTACTGCCCTGGAATGCCCAATATCTTCAATTTCATGCCTATCAGGTAAAAGCACACGAAGCCTCACTTACATGGTCACCATCTGAAATCAAAGCTCGGACTTGATTAGGAGGAAAAGTGTTCTGTGTAGAAAAAAAAGCTTCAGCCGCTGGCCTAATGTTATATGTTGTGTTTTTTTTTTTTTCAGAGTCCAGTGGTGGTTTGTTCCTGTTCCATATGGTATTTTAATCTTTGTCTATGATGAGATCAGGAAGTTAGGAGTCAGAAGATATCCAGGAAGTAAGCCAATATTCTTTATCCTTCCTTCTAACCATTTAAAATGCATTCATCAATCATCATTAACATTTCCACTTCTCTTCAATATTCAATAATGTGTATTCTTGTAATCTCCCAGGTTGGTGGGATCAGGAATTATACTACTGAGACCAGAAAAGGGTTTTCATTCATCCATCCATCCATATGCATGAAGGCATCACTCATGAACAGAATACTGGAAACCAAGAGGACCTTCCTCAATTTACCATTCATCTACATTACTTTGTGATCTATGTATTTATAGCTTAAAGTGTCTTTTAATGTCAAGAGTCTGCCTAAATCCTTCTAACAAAGTAAAAAAGGTAATAATTACTGAAAGTCGTTAATGAATAATTCTCATAGATTTGTTGTGTTCCAGCTCTTTGACCGTGGCTGCTTTGTATTTGTACTAATAAAGAATTTTAAGACTGATGATGACCAAATCAATAACAAAAGTAGCAACTTTTTTTGTATTCTATATTGGTTCATGGGTGTTTTACTGAAGGTTGTATCTTAACTTAGAAGTGACCCTCTGACACAAGCCAGAAGTTGCATTTGATATTTGCCAGAATTTGACTTTTAAGTCACAAATGCAGACTTACTTAATGCTGCACTAGTGAAATGGCTTATCTGGTTTAATGGTTAAGGTTAGATGTTTGTAACTGATCTGGCACACCAAAGTGCCTCGTGTCTATGAATATACAGTGTGTGCAAAAAGGTGTTTCAAAGAGCACTTTGATTTGTTTTTCATTCTCTTAGAAGAGAGCAATGCTTGATTATCTGATGACAGCCCAATGTACATGTGGAACTAAACTGATTCAGTCAACAATAATTACATCCAAGCATTGCTCAAAGAATCCTTTGAAGAAACCTACTACAAGAGTTTTTAACTGGTTATGAAACAGTCTAAATGTATTACTGATGTTACCAAAAAACAAGACCATCAGTGATAAGATGGGCTATTACTATGTAATTATTCTAGGATTCCCTTTGATTTTAATGAAATGAGGCGGGGAAAACACTATCACTTTTTTTACTGGGCCGCCAGAATCAACAAAAATTGAAACTTTCTTGTTGCTGCTTTAAGGCAAATATGGCTAAAATTACAGTAAAAGTGACAGGTATATGTAGGATGGAAAGCTGAGAATTAACACAAATCATAGTAACAGACGGTCAACTCTACTAGCATTTCTAACAAACACCTAAACTGAATGTTTTTAACTGAATCTAACTTTTGAAATCTATAAATGTAATCATACTTGGGTTTGTCCATTTCTAAAAAGAGGCCGCATCCGTCTGGAGGTGACAAATAGTAAGCAGCCTAGAACACATAGTCTCACAGACAAACAAACTTTATGATAATAACTGAAAATTTAATTTATTATAAATGCTTGATAACCAAACATGAATGACGATGATGGTATTGTGGCATTTCAATATCTTACAGCTGCTGACACTAAATTAAGTTTTTAAAACAGAACATACAGAAGGCAATGCGAGGCATGTATGTCCTCACAAGTGCATTTTTTCTTCCGCTCTCCTCCCACATACTCCACTCCTACTTTACTTGTGCTTTCTCAGTCTGTGTTCTCTACTCGACTTTCCAGATAGCAATCTTGCCATCACGGCATGCAGAGCCGCTCAGGACGTAGCGATCCTCAGCAGAGCAGAGCGTCTGGATGCTGTCCGAATGGGCCTGTAACTCCTTTGCCACAGCATGGCTCTCTGGGTCCATCACCAACACCTGACTCTTCAGCTGACCATCACACTGACCCCCGACACCGCTTCTGCCACGACAGCCCACCCAGATCTGAGGGGGAGGAGGGGGCATCAAGGGAAGGTAGCAGTGAATAAGTGATGATTAAAGTGGAGAAAGACACAGATATAGACAAAAAAACCTAACATGACCTAAAAATTCTTGACCACTTGACAAAAGTACAGGTAACATAGTGAAGTACAAAGTACAGTTTGAAGTATTCATAAGTTGCCTAACAGAATCATACTTTCCAATATGCATGTTTGTAATTTTCAACTCAACTTCCTCAATCAGCAATGCCGGCTTCGTGTTCCCATGAACCACAAGAAACTGGAAGTGTTCAACACACATGACATGTCACATGTTCTGCCACCTGACACATGCTTTAGCTCACCTGGTCCTTGACTCGAATCATACAGGTGACTCCTGAACTGCCAGGCAGAGAGATTCTCTTGGATGGATGTCTGTGGTTGTTCGTGTGCCAGAGACATAGTTCCCCTGACTCTGCACAGCCCGTCCACAGCTGACCTCGCTGGAACAGACACACAGAAACTAGACTAAGCAAAAGGAAATATAATATGGTTGTATTTTCATATCTGTGTGTTGGCAAAAGTTGTTGGTAAAATACTTGAATCTCTCAGTTTCCGTGGTTGCAGTCACTCATTGTCCTAGCTATATTATAACTATCTAGCTGCAAAACTAATCCGTTTTTCTATGAACAGCAGACCAAATAACTGACTTGCTAAATCACCAAATGGCTGCTAACTTTAATTTAATTGATAGACATATTAGCTGAGGATTGCAAAATCACCTCTGGGATGACAATGAAGCTGCTGAAGCTACTAGGCATGCTCCGTATGTCATCAGGAAGAACCATCCTTCTTTGTGGCGTCCCGCTCTTTTTCAGTTCCACAATGCTGTCACCACAACCTGCACATACACGCATGTCTGGTCAACAAATCATCATCAGGGTCTCTCTCAATGTGTAGACGATATTGGTTGAGTTCAGGCATGTCCAGAAAAGGATACACAGTAGATCTTACAGTTGCATATAGTTTATAATATAAAATGTGGAGTAAAAAAGAAATTAAAATCCACATTGAAAGACTCAGGTACATTCAGTCATCCGCAGCTACAGGCATACACTAAATGCCACTGGAGTGTTACTGCATGAAATAAATGAGCAAATACAACTGTTTAAGAGTACAAAGCAAAGGGAAATGTGTACACTTACAGCACCACAGTGTGCCATAATGGATCTGTATGGAGGAGAGACGGTCACAGCTGAGGTAGAACTGTCGCTTCACTTTGAGACTGGCCGAGTCCCACTGAAGAATAGTCCCATCACAGCTGCAAGAGTATGTCTGCTGGCTGTGAAAGACAGTTTGAAAAGACTAATTAAACCCACAAACCTTTACAGGGCTGCAATAAGTCAATTTGTACCTTTAGACTCACTTTTATGAGACTGCTTTTAATGTTTAAACTGATGATCAACACATCTCTACCTGCTGTGTTGATCTCTGGTGTCCACTGTGAGTCCGGTCACTTCATGTCTGTGTTCAGTCAGCTGTTTGTTGCAGGACATGCTGTGAGTGTCAATTATGTAGATTACGGAGTCCTGAGAGCCAATCCACACCTGCTCCTGGATCAATCCCAGCATGCAGTTCTGCATAGAAGACATGGGATCTTAGTTTCAATTCCTTTTGAAAACGGCAGGCTAAATGACTCAAAGACAGCATAATTAATAGTATAATTTATATATTGTACGTCTGTAAATAAACAGTATAAATGTACAGCATGTGCAATTGTTTCAACTACAGATGTTATAATTATTCCAGCACAAAAACAGCACAATGTAGCAAACAAAGCGATACAAATAATTTCATTAATGTGAAGAATTTGGGGATTAAGTTAAAACATAATGAACATCCAAACAATATTAAGTTTAAAACAACAATATACAACTCTATTAAAGCTGCTATGTGTATCATTACCCCCCATTGCAACTCAACTGCCAACAATCGGAGATTAAGGTATGTTACGCTTGTACAGAGGTCCGGTAAACTCACTTCTTTCTAACTCCAGATTTCTTTTTATTTTCAGACACGTCTTCAGTCCTAACCAATGCTAAAACGTTTCACTTTTCACACATGTACTTGAAGACCTTTAAACAAATGTGTAAAATTGGTGGAGTTACTCTTTAAATAAACATTACTCCTAGCAATAGAGTACAGAATGTCTGCTCTCACCAGCTGCGACTCTCCGACCTGGATGCAATCCTGTAGCATGGACCAGCTAGCTGCATCAAACACAACCACTTTGCCCCCACTGAGAGCCACCCACAGTTTTGGGTTCATCTCACCCTCTGAATTATTGCTGGTCAACTGACCTGGAGAAAGAGACACAGGGTGAGAGAGCAGTGAACCAGTGAATTATGAGAGCTGACTGCATGAAATAAAAGCATATTGCTCAGCAGGGTGGTTTAGTGTGTAGGCACATCACCACCATGAAAATAAGAACCTCCACTTGCTACTGATTTTTACCGACAGGGCCACATTATTCATAAATGTCTTCAGTGGAAATGGCAATACAGAAATTGAAAAGGATAACAATTAGGTAGTTAACACTTCACGAGTAATTTGCATTTTATATTTTTCCAATATCCTGATAAACAGATTATAAATTACCATAATTACTGGATAGAAATAAATAACAAATCGATACACACACTATGTCACAGCATACTTTTGCCACTCGTTTGGTGTGTTGCCTCTAACCTCTATCAGTTCTTAAAATCTTGTTTATCTGCTGTATACTCAGTGATCTCTTGAAACCAGATCAGCAGCCTCGCCTCCAGCTCTTGTTCTCTGTCACATTGTAAACAAATGAGAGACTAACAAGCCCGCTATTGTCCTGCCTGCTAATATGCAGCACAGCAAGATTAATGGGGTTATGTAGACAGGTTTCACTGAAGCATTAGGCCCTCACGTTGGCACAACCTAAATTATTCAATCAAGCAGGGAAACAATAGTCTAGATTTTGATACCTATGTGCAGATTTATGCACAGAAACAGAACAGGAACACATGGCTACAGGAACTAATGGTTCTGGTTTTTTTGTCCTGTCTGACCTGCTCAACAGGACAACTTACCATCATTTGACAGTGAGTGTCTTGTGTACAGATCAGTGTACAGTAAACAGAGAGAATAAAGCTTACAGAAAATGCGAGGCACATGATAAACTCTCAGCTCAGACAGGGGTTCAGTGTGTGAACACTGACTACCATGAAACGCATGAACTAATTATCAATACATAGTTTCATGCTCTGAAGTGTAAAGTTCAGTTAACATAATACAACTAGGGATATATATATATATATATATATATATATATATATATAGTCAGAAACTAGGGTACTAAAAATG